GTTGTACCAAGTTAAATAAATGTTTGGTCAAGAACATGCTGGTCGCTGAAGCCTTAGCTAGTGGTTATATCCTATCTCTTAGCTCGACTATTATCACCAACCTCACACATTGCCTAGCCGAGACGACAGTCAACAAGATTGACCCACACCAGACTGGCCCATTATAGGTTTTTCAACTCTGGCTGCAAGTCTATTTTGCCACCGTTAGGCCAGAAGTCCCCAACTTCAGACCCTCTGAAGCATTAGGCCTTCAATTGGGCTATATACTTGTTCCTCTTCACTCGGTCGAAAAAGTTTTTAAATACATTTTCGGCTTAGAAGACCTTTCCGATGATAAGTTTTTAATATGCCGTTGTCAAGAATACCCCTCTTCCATCAAGCTCTCATCCTTGACATAGAATGAAGCTGAAGACGTTACCCTCTGAAAGAACTGGGGATTGTTTATGTTATCTCGTGACCTTCCTCTCGGCTGCGATGTTAAGCGTGCAAGTTGGGAAGTCTACCAACCCCACTTCACTGCATAACAACTTGGCTACCTCCAAGGTTGCCCACTACCTCTATTCTCTTCTAAGTCAAGAACACCTCTCTAGTTCTTTAGAAAGAGAATGTAGGGAGGCCGAGCAGGAATTTCAAGAAAGGTGCAAGAAATTTTGCCTCCGGCCGAATGTCCCTGAGACTCTCAATATTGCCACATTTGTTGACTGGTGGGCCGTATATACTCAAGACTTTTTTGGTGCACCAGTTGAAAATATTATCAAGAAAATTTTCGGCCACCGCCTGAAGAAGACTCCTGCCTCAAAATCCAAAGAAACGGCTTAAGGTATTTATCTGCGTCTATCATTTCACTTTGGCCACTTGTTCAAACTCCCTTTTGATTTGATTTGAGCATTTTAGGTAGTCATACGGACGTGGCAGCTGCGACCGTGGCTAAGAAAAAACTTGCCCTTTAGCAACAGAAAACAGCAACCGCTTTACCGACCTTGCCAGGCAAACGGTCTCACCTAGAGGCTGTGGCGGCTGACGACGCTTCCTGTTCTAAAAAATACATTAAGAAGTTGGTAAAAAAAAGGGAGCGGGAGATTCATGTCATCTCTAACCAAACTACAAGAGAAACTGCTGAGTCTCCTCGTGCTCCTGCTGTTCAAGCCTCGGCAGACATGTAACCAGACCCTCCCACCGGTCAAGCACCTAAGGTTCGTCCGGTTCAACAAGTTGTGGTTGAGCAAACTGTTGATCCGGTAATCAAAGAACCTGCAGCTCTAGGGCCGACCGTTTCTCTTATCTTGAAGGAAGTGGCCACGTTGGCCGAGAAAAATCTCCCCCCGAATCCAAAAATAAAAACAGCGGTCGTTCTGGAGGAAAAGGTATGATTATGTTGCTGGTAACTTTTTCCTTCGACTAGATTCTGAATGCTAACAACCCTTATTTCAAGATGATGACAGCAAAGACATCCAACTAATGAGTCACATTCGACCAATTAAACCCCTTACCACTAACTTTCCAGTTGTGGTTAAGGCGACTGACTAGGTCGATCATTCTGCAATCGATCGTGGAAAAATACCATTTGTTGAGCCTGCAGCGACGACAGAAACACCAATCCATCCACAAGATCAAGACCTTGACATTTTTTCTCAAAAAGTTACTTTGGCCTTTGTAAGGCTTGATCCCCTTTTTTAGTTAATTTTACTATAACAAGTCTGAATCGAGAAAAATATTAAATGTCACGTGCCCGATTATTCATTTCACCAAAAATTCTATACGTCGAAGGGTGTTATTTATATTTCCTGGCCAACTTAGTGGTCGTCGAACGTAGATAACCTTCATCGGTTGCTTGAATTGAGAAGCAGTCTTAAACACTAGGCTAGGCCATTAAGCTCTTTAGGTTCAAGCAATGAACCAGTAGACATAGCCGAAGTCTTCTATCGATAGGTCTAAAACAAATTCTCTCTGCTATATTCTTTACGATTTTCCTTTTGCCTAAAATCTTGTCATATGTAGCCTTCATGAGAAGTCGAGCTCGACGCTTTCCTCTCGAATACTTTTGGAGTAGCCGGGTCATCTGCCGCGTCTGCCGAGCCTTCGGCAACCGTGGTCGAACTAATGCCTTCGCTAAGTTGTAGAAACTCCTATCCTTTTTTGCCTCACAAGTTCTTCAATGTAAAGGCCTATAGGAGAGTGACACCGAAAATGTCGTCCACTTATCCAATCTTTTGGAGCAAACTCAGCAGTACTTTACTATTTTTGAACGGGCTCTCCGAGCCGAGGACGACTTAAAGGCTGCAAAGATTGCTCATCAAGCCAGTCGGCTGGAGGTTGAGGCTATAAAAGTAAAGAAAACGCGGCTAGTCGGTCTTGATCATCAAATTGTTGAATTTCAAAGTTAAATTGCCAAACTTCAACGACAAAGGTTGGCTGTTGCTTCACAACTCGAAAAAGATTTTGAAGTGAATAAGGCTCGACTGATGGACTTTGTGGCTGGCGTAAAGCAGATCCAACAACTTCAACTTAGTAAAAGGACAAGGCAACCTGAAGTCACAATGGGCGAAGTAAGGTGGTTGGAACTGAAGGCCGCTTTTAAAGCCTTCATTCCTTCAACCCCTTAGAATTTTGGCCTTAGGAATCTTTTGTAACTTCACTTATACGCACTTTTGCAAAATTAATGAAATGATCTTTTATTCTCGTGTCTCCCAAGTGACTGGATAATATTTCTTTAAAAATTTCCCGTTGATGGGCAATTTGTGAATTAAACTAGTCTAATCCTTAAGGTGGTATACCCCATTCCCAATTCGACAACCATTGTCGAACCTGGGGTCTTTAATTCGCACGGGTAGCACAGTTTGCCAAACCAACTCTCCCTCTTCGAATGTTGTTTGTCTGACTCGTTGATTATAGGCTCGCTCGGCAATCTTCTTCTGTGCCACTAATAAATTATAAGCGTCAAACAGAATTTCTTCTAAGTTTTCTAACTCTTGTCTCATGGCTTAACTGTACTCGGCACTGAACAAACTACTTTGTTCAATCACTCACAATGAGTTTATACTTAGCTCGACCGGTAACACCGCGTCATGTCTATAGGTTAAAGTGTATGGAGTCGTTCCGGCGGCTGATCGGAATGAAGTTCGATAAGCCCATAACGTATCGTTTAACTTTAAATGCCACATACCGTGCCTCTTTTTTACCATTTTTAGAGAATATCGATCAAAACCTTATTACTTGTTTCGGCTTGTCTATTCGCCTCGAGTAATATGGCGTAGACTACCCAAGTCGAATTTTTAGATTTGCCGTATACTCCTTAAACCTGTTAGATATAAAGATCGTTCCATTATCTGTTATGATTATTTCTGGTACAGCAAATCTAGTCACGATGTTTTCTTTTACAAAATTACATACTTCTTTAGACTTTAACTCGGCATATGACTCGGCTTCGACCCATTTGGTGAAGTAATCCGTCGCGATGAGTATCCACGCATGCTTTGCTGACCCAGAATATGGTGCAATTTTGCCGATTACATTCATGACCCATCCTCTGAACGACCATGGTTTGTTGACCTAATGGACTGATTCGGCTGAGACTCTCTGTATAGGCCTATGAATTTGACATTGTACACATCCTCGTGCGAACTCAATACAATCCTTGAATATACTTAGCCAGAAATAACCGTGTTGGCGAAGCAATCATTGCATCTTTTGTTTGGACTGATGAGCCTTTTAAATTCCTTTATGGACCTTTGTGATTGCTTGAGCAGCCTCCTGAAGGCCGAGGCATAACATTAATAGACTGGCCTCACCCATTCGGTACAATTCATTTTGGTATGTTACATAGTTCGTGGCACGAACCTTTGTCTTACGGTCGTGTTTGCCATTGAGATTGTCAAGATATCGTATAATTGACTTTCTCTAGTCATCTGGCATTGCCTCGACTGCACAAACCTCTATAGGGTTCTTCCGCTCTAATAACGAAGGTAAGGACATGACTCATGTACAGATCATGCAATCGTGTTGGAGAACTTGCTGATTAACCAAGGCCGAGTGTGCTTGTCGTGACATAAGTATTTCTCGGCCTAGTTTACCCCCTAGGAGTTGTGCTCCGGAGGCTATTTGAGCTAATTCATCTGTGTCAGTGTTTCAAACTCGTGAAATACGTTTGAAAGTAACGCTGTCGAAATACTCGGCCAAATAGCTGGCAACCATGTGATAAGGCGCCAGAGTAGAACTCATGCAATGAAAAGTCCCATTAAGTTGGTTAATCACAAGTTCGGAATCACCGAGAATATGGACACGAGTTACCGTAGATCGTGTAGGACACCAAGGCCGATGTTAAAGGCTTCATATTCAGCCTAATTATTCATACAATCGAAATCGAGCTTGAGAGAAAAATACCAGCGGCTGTGATTTAAGGATTGAATAATGGTCCCAACACCAACTAAGACTGAAGTACTAGAGCCATCAAAGTACATCGTCCAGTAATTATCACGTGTTTCCACCATGTCGATTTCAACGTCATTGCCCCCAAAACCGTATGGTGAGGGATGTTAGGCAAAGAAATCGGCCAATGCTTGGCCTTTGACAGCTTTCTGGGGCACATATTGCAAACTGAATTAAAACAATGCCATTGTCCACTTTTCGATTTGGCCTTCTACTATCGGCTTCGATGGGTTTAGATTTCGGCTAAGATAAAAAATGGGCTGTTCTTACCCAACATCATTGTCTTGTGCAAGAAGACATCTGATGGATTCTTTGGCCACTAAGATGTACAACTTGAGAGGTCTGCCACGTCGCGGTGGGACCAGGACGGGTGGAGTCGTGAGGGAGACCTTGATATGTGTAAATGCCTCTTGTTGTTCTGCACGCCATTCGAAGATGTCAGAATCCTTAAGTTTCAAGAGTGTGGAGAAGACTTTCATTTTTCTCGCCGAATTAGCAATTAATCGACGGAGAAAGTTAATTTTGCCAAGTAATGACTGTAGTTGTTTCTTAGTTATCGGGGGTGGAGCGATTGCTCAGGTCTTATTTTCATCTACCTCAATACCACGATGATGTACAAGGAATCCTAAAAAATTACCGGCTGATAGGTCGAAAGCACATTTGGCAGGATTCATTTTAAAGTTGTGCTGGTGCATACGCAGGAAAGCCTGACGGAGATCATCCAAATATGTCTGCCCACGTTGTGAGTTGATTACAACATCGTCAATGTAGACTTCGACGGTGGTACCAATCAAATCATGGAAAATAGTATTCATGGCTCGTTGGCATGTGGCACCTGCATTCGTAAGGCTGAATGGCATGATGACCCATTTGTATGTGCCGAGTGCCCCCAGGCAATCAAAAGCAGTCTTATGGACATCAGTCTTGGTGATGAAAATCTGGTTATAACTAGCATGTCCATCCATAAAGGATAAGATCTCATGGTTTGCTGCCACGTTGATTAATAAATCTGAAATTGGCATTGGATACCTATCTTTAGGAGTTGCTATGTTCAAATTTCGAAAATCAATACAGATACACAAAGCACCATTTTTCTTTAAAATTGGGACAATGTTTGCCAACCAATCGACGGATCGAACTGTCTGAACCACAATGTTTGTCAAAATTGGGACAATGTTTGCCAATTAGTTTATCTTTTATGCCGAGTTGTACTTCGGTTGAGAATCGTCGAGGTGGTTGGCGGAATGGTTTACACCCAGGTTTGATGCGTAATTCATGTTCAATTAGTGTTTGATCTAAACCAGGCATCTCATGGTAGCTCCAAGCAAAATAATCCTTAAATTCTCTGAGCAAATTACATAGCTTGGCTTTTACATGTTGGGGGTAACAAAGCACTAATGAACAAAGGTTGTGGGTCTTCGGCCATTCCAAAATTTATTTCCTCTAAAGGATCCTTGACTTGAGGTTGACTATCCTCGAGCTCGGTTGGTGCAGCCTAAACTTTGTCTAGTGAAAGTACTGGGCCGTTGTCTCATTCGGCAAAAAATTTGACTAAGTTTATGCTCGAATTTGGTTGCTTGGAATAACATACCAATGGGCTAGCAGTCATTCCATGGTAGATGAAACTGCGACCCAACGTTTGTCATGGCCGTCTTCAGACATCAATGTCTGCGATCAGATCAGCCAACCCAAGTCTCACTGATTCCTGATAGACAATCTCGGCGCCTGCCTTGATTGCTTTCTGTATCGAAATTTGAGTCGACCGTCCTTCCTCGTTCAAACCCTGTAGGGCAATATAGCCGACGTGATCATCGTAATACTGTGCCTGAATCATATTGGATTCAAAAGGCTGATTGTCGGCCGGATGAACCACAACTGATTTGCCATCCCAAAAGATAAGAACCTGATATAATGAAGAGTAAATGCAATTTGTTTGATGGATCCAATCCTGACTGAGCAATGCATTATAGTCAGTTTTGGAGTCGACGATAAATAATGCGGTTATGTGATTGCAACCTGCAATGCTTACCTCCAAAGGAAGAACTCATTTGGTTTGAGACTTGTCGCTGACAAAGCTGCTCATGGTTATTCCTGATGGAATGAGTTCGTCGTTAGATAGTCATAATGCCTTCATGATTGATACGGGCATGATATTAACCGTAGTCTCATAATCGATGAAGATTTTGGATATTAGATAACCTTTAATGTGAGCCGTGACATATAATAGCCTCAAATGTTAAAGATTAACTGAAGAAGAGTGGGGAAATAGTATGGCCAAAGCTGCTTTAAGTTTGTCGGCTTTACTCGCTTGCTCATCTTCTTCGGTGGCGATGAAATCAACTTGTGTTGCTTCCTTGGCAACCATGTCCCCATCCGAGGAATCTGGTTGGTGTATGGTTGGTTGAAATTCAGCAAGTAGGACATGAACCTTGATGATTTCCATATTTTTTAGGACTGAATGACCCATCAGGTCTTGGTCGTCGTCCTCCTGGTTATCGAGTACGGTATCATGCTTTGGAGCATCCTCGACTTGATCATCTTTCACCTAATTGGGGACGTGCTTTTGTGGTATGTCAACTGAACCTGTTTCATTCTGCCTGTCATCCTCGAGCTTGTTCGTTACGGGGTTTGATTTTGTCCCTGCAGTGCTTTACGGGCTTATTCTTCATAGGAAATTCGGGCGTCCCTTGTGTCTAGGTAGGCATCCAAACACGCCACACAATCATTCTCATCAGCTGTAATGCCGAAAAGATATACGGCTAAGAAAACTTCGAATTGATGTTGTAAATATTGAAAGTCTTCAAAAGAAAAAAGGAGTTCGGCATTGTCATGTCTGTGTACGGGTCGACCTCAAAGCCGAGGACCAGAGCTTCACGTATGTGCTAGAACCTAGCCTTAATTGCGGGATCAATGGTTTTTTGGATTATCTGTTCAGCATCAGGGCAACTTAGTGCCAGGTCGAGGGTTTCTTAACACGCCTTGGGTAGGCCGTACAAGTCATTGACAAAATGTTTCTTGTGAAATTCTCGCATGTACTCCAAGGATTCTCTGAGGAATAGATGATGTAGATTATGTTAGACTCTTATTAACGGCTCTTGCGGGGGTAAATGGGGAAGCTTGCTTTCAGCTTCTTTTCTGAAATGCTCGAAACGAGCTTTCATTTTCCCAGGCCGAATGAAGAGTTTGATGTGCTTCTCGGACTTTTCAATGATGGTTTCAAAGTCACGATCAATTACCTTTTTTCTTTGAAGTAATTTAGCCATGATTGTCGGGGTTATCGATCGTCTCCACATCTTGTTGCTTCTTTCGGCTACCATTTAGTAGCCGAAGTAGCCTGTGTTGCCTGTCATCGAGCCATGCCATCTATTCGCTGGTAGCGACGTTTCTTAGATTTGGATAATGTAGTATACATGCCTGTAGGAGAATTGTAACTATACCAACGTTGGTCGCGTGGCTCAGGTGGCTTGAAGGTTTTTTTATTCACTGATGAACTCGAGCTACTGGAGTTATATGAGTAATACTCCTCATTATAAAACGGCGTGTCAAAATTAAGACGCTGTCTAGCTGAGGTTGGGCTGTCGTATTTGAAGACCGAGCCTATCAAACACTTATGGCATTGGCCTGCGCTGAGTACCTTTGGAGGTGTTCCCGCAGTCGTGGATGGTTGCTATGGTGTTGGAGCCTGAGGTGGTTTCTCCTTTGGTTCAGTTAGGATGACGCGTGCTTTACAACAGCTGCACAAAACTATCGGTCCATAAGTTTCTTCTGCACTAGAGTTTGACATAGATTCGACTATAACGGTCCCGAAAACTTTGTAGGTGGTTTGTTTGAAAATAGATCAATCTTGAGTCGCGGCCGAGAGTTCTGCTTTGGGACATGTTGTATTGGAACAAACTCGACTTTTCCCTTCCCTTTGCTCTTAGGAAAATAAGCATCTACCATGCCAACTGTCATTGAAGGGAAGGAATCAACGTCAACAATCGTTTGTTTTTCAGGAAATTTTAGCTTGCCTTTATCAATCCTACTTTGAATAGCATCATGGAATACAACGCAATTATTTGTGGTATGTTTATTCGAGTTATGGTACTTACAATATGTGTTGCCTTTCAGCTCTTCAGCCTTGGGAATGTTATGTCTTGGGCAAAGTTTGATGATCTTTGCCAGCAACAACTGGTCAAAAATTGCATCGGCCTTGGTGATATCAAAAGTGTAAACTTTTGATGTTTTAATTGTCTCTTCAAAGGCCGAGCAGGTTTTGGCATCCTTGTAATTAATTTGAGCCAATGCCTTGTATACGTATGATTCATTTATCACTATCTCGCATGTGTCCATACTGACGTATTGCGAGTCCTCGCCTTCGGTCGATACGTAGCTAACCGTGGGATTCTTGTAAGTCGTTCCCTGGAATGGGGACTTCGAGATCTTTTCTTGTCGGAGCAAATAATCATATTGCTCAACATGATGGGCCAGTTCTTACATATCTAGAAAGTTTACCCCAGTTCGTACAATCCTTGCCTTCCATATCCAGGCCGTTTAGAGTGATTTTGACGAATTCAACTTCAGGGAGAGGTACTCGGCACCAATTTCTAGCCGACTTGAACCTCGTTAAGTATTCCATTGGCGACTCATTGGATGCTTGAGCCATCATAGCCAGTGATGAAACTAACATTTCCATCCCCGGCCGGTAGAATTGTTCATGGAACTTTTCGACCAGTTCCTCCCAACTTTGGATGGAATTGGGCTGGAGATTGATGTACCAAGCTAATGCTGAACCTGTTAGTGAGAAGTTGAATAGTCGTAATTTATGGAAGTCACTATTAACATCTCCGCATTGTGCAGTGAACCGAGCCACATGTTTTAACGAAGACAAGGACAATTCGCCAGCAAAAAGGTTGAAATCTAGAATTTTAAAACCTTTAGGACATTCGAACTTCTACATAAGCTAGGTATGAATGGATGAACTTTGGGAACTTCGACCCTTTTTTCAAGGCCGAATCGATCATTCTTTGGACCTCGATCACATCGACGGTTGCTGTTTCTTCTCTCTGGTGGGATTCGTCTGATCTGCTGCTTGATCCTTTTTTTTTTTCCAAATCGATCATTTTGAGTCGAGCAGATCTTGTCTCGGCCTATAGCGTTGATACCGGATTACCCTTAGGTGGAAGTTGTCGGGAACGATCGGTGGGTCCGCTGTCGTAAACTTTACTAACCAACAGTTTGAGTATTTTGTTGTGTGTCTCACCATTATTGCGTATTACTACAAGTATGCTTCTTACTTCTCGACTAAAAATTTGAGATTGCTCTTCTAGTCTTCTCTGAAGAAAAGATCTAGTCGATGGATCAGAACCTTCACCACCATCCTCATCGCAATCTTCAATTGAAACGCCCTTGGTTCTGTTAGGGGTTTCTGCATTGAGGGGCTGGCCGCCGAGGCCAACTTCCTTTTCTTAGTGTGTCACACTTGTGGCCTTAGGTGTTACGGCAATAGGAGGATTATGTGCCTGTGACGAGTCTTCTTGTCCTGGGTTTTGGATTGAAAGGTTGGTCGTGGACTTTCCCATCAATCCGCCTTATACTAGGACTCGGAAAAACTTAACCAAGCGGCCCATAATAACTAAAATTCGCGATGATTCTAGAAACATATTGCCGGGCCGAGAATAACTCCTAGCTCGGTCCAAACCAATATTTTGGGCCCAAACACTATTATAAAATAATTGAAAATCACCTTAATATTTTACTCATGCAACGGCCTAAAATTCTATTCATTTAATGACCTCGACTTCACAAGTCGACGATGCTGTATTGGATCTAAACATTGCTTTCCAATTTTCTTGAGCTTTGGTACATAAGCTGAATGGCAAGGGAAATTAAATTTTTTCAACCGAGCTCATTGAAACTTTCTCGACTCAAATAATATTCCCCAGCCAATAAAATTTACACAAACTATAACCCTCGACTTCCGTCTTACAGTCGACTAAAAAAATAGTCATGAATTATGGGCCCAATTTGTAAATCCCAACAGCAAGTAAAACAAATGCAACGCCCATGGCCAAGCAATTTACGTGTGCCTACCATGCTTTCAATTCCACCGAAAAAATTCCAAATATCTCAGGTCGGTCACGTGGGCCAATTAGGTAAAAAGGGGCCCATATTACCTTCCCACATTCCCACCGAATGCTCAATATCATCCTCTCTTTTCTCTCCACTCCTTATTTCCTCCAGTATCAGCTTGTACTACTGAATGGTTGAGGAAATAAAAATATTATTTTTCCCTAACAAATGAAAATAAAAGTGGCGAAGCATAATGATGAGAAGGTCAACGATGTTTTATTCCACACATATTGTTTTTTGTATAACTATCACCAACCCGATTTTGTTTCAAGTTTGGAATGAAATCACAATGGCCTTCGACAAATATTCTTGATATTTGGCTGCAAAATAGGCCAAGTTATTATGCCTCCCGAGCTAAATCACTAACACGCCCTGATCCCGATATTCCCCGAATACCAGGATAGGCACATGTTGGCCGACACCCGAGGGTGACGAAAGCCATTAATTGATACCAAAGCTAAGAATATGAAATAAATAAGGGTTATGAATTTAACATACAATGAGTTAATAATTTAGGAATGTGTTCAGAGCATACAACTAACTACAGTTCTAAAAGAATTAATATAAAATTGAATAAATTAGAGGATCTAGGTCCTACTCCGAGAGGACTCGAATATGCTAATGTGAAAGCGTTGACGTTTGGATTGTATGCCTTGAATTCGAAATCTTGAAAGGGGGAGCACAACAAGGGTGAGTGGACCACGTTCATATATATATATATATATATACATAATACGAAAATAGTTATAAACATACTAACCCCTAGAGTTTATATATAATGAAAACTACTAGCATAATAAATGACAGGTTTTCTGAAACTTTAGCATGCCATAAAACATCTTAATAGGTATAACGCGGAAAAATATCATATAAATCATCGCGTGTATCGTCTCGTAAACGCGGTGTGCTGCCAGTAAGATCACTGAATAAATAAAGCTCCTAGCCCTATGCCAGCACCGTGGTCTCTGCGCCCGTAGCCAGAGATTACCAACTCCCGGCCCAATGCCTGCTTCGTGTCCCTCAGTCCATAGCTAGGGATTATTTCTCTCGGCCTATCTGCCAACTCCAGATCCTTGCCCCATGCGACATAGTGTCCACTAGGTACGCACAAATAGTTACGCCTCTCATAAATAACCACTTCATAGTATAAAGTCATCCATTGTCTATACTATAAAGAGGGGTTTCTAAAACATGTTCTAACATCCTATCGTCATCCATCAGATAGTCTACCAGTTCATGGTTTTTATAGAAAATACGATATCTCAAACTACAGTTCAATATAGGCTAACAATTAATTCCTCACCAAAAACACGAGACGAAAATCAACATATT